GAAAAGTTTGATCTCAACTCAGATATGGACCAACCCCTGAGTCACTACTTCATCAATTCAAGTCATAACACATATCTTACTGGCCATCAGTTGACCGGCAAGTCATCGGTGGAGGTGTACAGACAATGCCTTCTGGCCGGCTGTCGGTGTATTGAACTCGACTGTTGGAACGGCAAGAACTCCGATGAAGAACCCATTATCACTCATGGCTTTACTGTCGTCACCGATATTCCATTGAAAGAGGTGTTGGACGCCATCAATGAAAGTGCATTTAAGACGTCCTATTATCCGGTGATCCTGTCCTTCGAGAACCACTGCTCTCCGAAACAACAGATAAAAATGGCGGCCTATTGTCGAAAAATCTTCGGCGACGCCCTCCTCACTGAGCCTTTGGGCACACATTCCCTCAAACCCGGACAACAACTTCCTTCACCCAACCATCTGTTGAAACGAATCATTATTAAGAATAAGAAGAAACATCACATCCGGACGCGGAAAGGAATGGCTCAACAAATGGCTGCAGAGGAACTGCAACAGCAGATGGAAGCCAATGCCACCGCTGCTGCCATTCCGTCGACACCGGAACGCCGTCCCACTCTTGTGACCAGTAATAGTGATGAGAGCAGTCATCTCGACAATGAGGACAGCTTTCATCTGAATGGCAACGAAGAGATCAGTCCTAATGCGGCCAAAAGCGTCAGCTGTGATATCGATGAACTCGACTCCGACTCAAGTCTTGAAGAGGATGAGGCGCCGCCTCCTGAGGAGGTGATCGAAGTTCAGGGAACCGCCAGCAAAGAGTCCGAAGCCGGCGCTGAAATGTCTGCCTTAGTTATATACGTACAGCCCGTGCGCTTCCATTCCTTTGAATACTCGGACAGTGAGTCCACACTTGATTGAGACAATTGTCACGTTTATAACCAATTGTTTCCATTTGTAACAACAGAACGGAACCGAAGTTTCGAAGTCTCGTCTTTTGTCGAAACTCAGGCCACGAATCTATTGAAGGAAAGACCGGTTGAGTTCGTTAAGTAAGTGATCAATTGATTTGTTTGCATTTGATTTCTGAAAACTTTTGTTTTTTCAGTTTCAACAAAAGACAATTGAGTCGAATATACCCTCGAGGCACACGAGTTGACTCAAGTAATTATATGCCACAAGTCTTCTGGAACGCCGGCTGTCAGATGGTTGCCCTCAACTTCCAGACATTGGGTTTGTCTTCATTTACGAAACTTAATAAACATGAAATTAAATTCTGTATAAATAATGTTCATTATAACTGTTATGTCTTACTTTAGACTTAGGAATGCAACTAAATTTGGGAATTTTTGAATACAACGGCAGAAATGGGTATCTCTTGAAACCAGATTTCATGCGAAGACATGACCGCAAATTTGATCCGTTCACGGAATCCACTGTCGATGGAATTATTGCCGGAACCGTTACCATCAAAGTATGACATAATACAAGACAAGACGTAACCAGAATTTAATTTATATTATAATTACAGATAATTTCGGGACAATTCTTGTCGGACAAAAGGGTCGGCACTTTCGTTGAGGTCGATATGTATGGACTGCCGGCCGATACAGTGCGCAGACGGCGAACGAAAACAATTCCGGCGAACGGCATAAACCCGGTCTATGATGAGGAGCCGTTTGTCTTCAAGAAAGTAGTTCTTCCAGAACTGGCGTGTCTTAGGATCGCAGCATTCGAGGAGAACAACCGCTTCATTGGCACCAGAATTCTTCCAGTCGTAGGCTTACGGCCCGGTTATCGACACATCTCTCTGCGCAATGAATCGGGTCAACCCCTGTCGATGCCCACCCTTTTCGTTCACATTACAGTCAAAGACTACGTTCCCGACGGACTCTCGGAGTTGGCCGACGCGTTGGCCAATCCTATTGCCTACCAATCAATGGTCGAAAAGCATGCAAAACAGTTGTTAGCGCTGACTGATGAACTGGATGACATGTCTATCACCAGCACTAAGAGTGACACTTCGTGTAAAGTCACTGTAAACGTGTCGCCCGAACACCAAATGCTTTCACGAAAATACACTTCAGATGAAGAGAAGAATCCAATAAACAAGTCATCCGTGTCTGCAGTGAAGGAGTCGACCGACTCGTGTGCGATCGCACCGTCTAATAGAGGCGACACAGCGAATGGCAGTTTCCAAAAGACAATGACTGCCGTCTCCAACACATCCTCACCGGTGCACAGAGGGTACACATCTTCCTCATCACCGCTCGTACGACACGATACACTTAATAAACGTCTCAATCAATCCATACGCAGTCTTTCAGATGAAGGCGCTCTTGAAAAGTCTTCATCACTACTTGAGTCAACGGAAGCCAATATAACCGCTGAATCGTTAGATAAAATCAAAGAGCATAAAGTGGTTCAGAAAGTGATGACTAAAATAGAAAGGGATTTGATGTCTGTTCGCAAGAAATACGACAAACTTAGGGAAAAGAGACGAGAAGTGGTTCAACAGGAAGAGGAGAGACTAACTCAGGCTCAGGAGAAGCAGAAGACAGCGTGGGTTAAGTCACACTCGAAGCTGTCGAAGAAGTCATCCTCATCTGACGGGTAAGTCTATCATAAGTCTGAAATATGTTTGTATTGTTTATTCGCATGACATCTCAATCTGTAACCACTGGAATATATTGTATAACTGTTGAAAACTAACACAACATAACTGTCCACAACATAACTGTCCACAACTGCCTGATCTAACAAATGCAACGCCTATATCGTACTGCTGTTGTACAGTGTCTTTGCTTGTCTTTTGCCCTCCCATTTGTCCGCTCTCTTGCACTGTGGTCTGTGCCGTTCCCGTGATTCCTGCAAATCCCGCTGTTTTAGGCCATCAACTCGAAGGCAAAGTTTGCAGTTCCTCTCTATGCCATCCTATAGGCACGTCATGAAGAGACGCTCTGAAGTGGACCTCCAAAGTGTACTTAACGAACATCAGACCAAAGTATGACATCATCATAACAGCCCATTTAAGCCATTCCTATATGTATTGACATTTCTTGACGGGTCTCATAGATTGAAGAATTGCACCGAACTTTCTCGCAAACTATGCTAAACCTGAATCAGGAACAGTTCAAAGCAGAACTCGAATTATACGAGAAATATCACGACCAGGTCTGTCCACTGCCTGCGCTCTGTATGCACTCAAAGTATAGCAATTTGTGTGTCTGTCCTACAGGTGTGCAATGCCATAGAGAAGGCGATACACGTCTCGCAATCGGCACAACTGCAACACCTGCAGGCCCTCCACGACCAGGAGGTGAACTCACTTATGAAACGACTCGAGGCTCAAACCAAAGATGAGTTGACAGCTCTAAGCAAGAAGCATAAGGACAAGAATGAATTGGCGAGGATTAAGAGGGAATTACAACAGAAACTCATCGAACAGGCCGTCGCCGAACGCCAGCGATTCAGTTGTTTACTCGAAAAACGCAAATCAGAACTCGAAGGCCGTCACGAAGAGGTCCGCAAGAAGTTTGAAGAGGAAAAGCATTTGATTCTTGAGAGGAGACGAACTGAATGTGAGGAGAAGCGCCAGAATTTGGTCAAACAGTTTGAGTTAAATCCGACGCTATTCACGTCATCTCTGGCGACAACTTCTGGTTCTTTAGGACATAATATTCAATCCCACGACTCGTCGACGGCTTTGTGATGACTCTTCAATTCGTTCTCTCGGAACTGATTTATCGTAAGTTTTTATATAAAGTATTATTTAATTGCAATAAAAATTTATATATTTTTATAATTACTCTTTGATTATAAACCACTTATTGATTTCATATCTGATATACTGTACGGTAATATTATTATTTGTGGCAACACTTGAATCGTTAAGAATTACATAAATTTATGTTTGGTTTGAGTCTAGAGTGGTTTAAGTACTAGGGTAAGACATTTTTTGAGTTAATAAGTGCCTCAGAATTAAAACTCATAAAAACTCTTGTCTTATCTCTTATGAGAATAATTTATTTATTAAGAATTAGAGGAAATATATAACAAACCTTTGAGTTAAGAATTTATTCACTTAAGAAGATTATCATTACATATGGTCTTAAAAAAGAGATATAAATATTGTATTATTTGTTAAGTACTATAACTGAGAGCCAAATAAATAGATTTATTTCTTCAATTGACTTGTGATCCCATATAATCGCTGGAAAACATAACGTATTTATCTTTTTTTGCAGAACTTTTAGAATTTGTGGTGAATTCGAGGACAAGTGATCTCTTTCTTTCTCTCAGAGGACTATTCATTGAATTCTAGTCCATATTTGCATCGATTGGTAATGCAATTGAATTGTAATTAATACACAGACTTCATCTTAGATACGCTTATCTAAACTCAAAAGGAGACATACATTTCCACTCCGACATCAATTACAGTTAATTCAAGCAAAACATCTCCAATAAATCGCACATATAATTGCCAATTGAAATGCATTCACAAACTGATAATTAATTACTTGTTTCCAAATGCAAACAATTGTCAAATGTTTTATTGTAAAGAATTTGATTTGAAAGATATATTTAAAAGTTTTAAGGTTTTATGATTTGCCTTAAAGTGCCAAATGGTTTGTTGTCGACTTTGAAGGCAAAGTTTTTATTATTTTTTAAAAAAGCTATAAATTCTATAAATATTCTAATGTATTATTATTTTATTGAAATTCTTATAATTTGTAAGTTTTTAGCGGTAAAACTAATCATTAAATGGTATCAATTGAACCATTTTTAAGGACAGCTATAAATGCAGTGAAAACTGCTTAAAAAAAGTGAATCCAAATTCATCTCATCCTAAAGCTATTCAATTAGTGAATAAACTTATGGTTTATATTATGATTAACCATAAGTTATTTCAATTCATACATAATGTATTGAGTAAACATTTATTGAACATTCAATTAATTATTATTGATATAACTATTATTGATACTGTGATCTATAATTGCAAATTATATTCAATACAAATACAAACTTATAATATTAAACATAAAGTTCTATACAGTACAGTGATTCTGGATTTAGTTACATTTAGATATAAATGTCATTCTTTCCAATGAATTAAACTTATCTTTCATTTTACAATAAAACACAAATTGTATAAAATATTTACAAAAATACTATTTGTTATATTATTGTTTTAAATATTAGATTGAAAACAATTATTGTCTTCCTATATATTCACTGTTACACTAAAGATTTCAGACAAACATTGTGTTAAGAACTAAATAATGAAATCCCAGTTGAAGTTAATTTTTGTTAAGAATCCATTAAAATGTTAAGAATTTATTATTCATATTATTGTTTTGTTGGTTTTATTTATTATTTTAATTTTTTATATATTTATATAATCATTATTACGGGCAGAGTTCACATCACACAATAGACATTAATTCTAAGTTATGTTCAAAATAATGTACATTATAATTGATTACAAATTAATATTTTGTTACTTATGTTACTTATGTTGGCTAACATTTCACACATGAAATGTATTTTCATTTTCAAATACATTTCAATTCCGATGTAATGTTTTTGCCAAATGATTGACATCTTTATGAAAATTGTTTGTATTTTACATTAGTTTTCAATTATGCGGTTGGCTCGCCGCCGGGCCAGGTCTGACGTCTTGACCGGGTCTAAGCTGATGGACGTCGGCTTATTGATCGCCTCGAACACCAGACCCATATTGGCCTTAATGACGCTCAGCTCCTGGTGCGAGAGCGCCGTCTCCGGCAACTGATTGCGACATCGGATCCAGTCGTGATTGAGGACATCGGCCGCTTTGTAGCGCTGTTTGGGGTCGATGTGAAGCATTCTTTCCACCAAATTCTGCAATTATGGCAACAAATCGTTAATAAATTGCACACAAATGTCAATCACATCAGCAGCTAATGCCTTACTTTTGCCGAATTAGAAACGTTGACCCAATTGCCGGACGACAGATCAAACTTGCCTTCGCCTATACGGCACAGGATGTCATTCGGCGTATCGTTGGGTCCGTAAGCGAATGGAGTGACACTTCACACACAAAACAAACCAAAAATTATATTAAAACACTAATCAAATCGCAAAGTAGTGGTTTCAATGTCTACCCGGCCAACATCGTGTAGAGTAGGACACCCATCGACCAGATATCGCAGGCCTCGTCGTATCCCTGCTTCTTAAGTACTTCCGGAGCGGCAAAGTTGGCGGTATAGCAGGGAGTCATCAGTAATCCGTTGTCGGCCCGCATTTGCTTCGCGAAACCAAAATCACAGATACGTATCGACGAGGGGTTGCCAGAGTTGTCGGCGTATAGGATGTTGGAGGGCTTCAAGTCTCGATGAACTACCTGTGCGTCACATTTCACACACCAATTAATAAAATTCATTAAACACATCATAATTACGAATATTTACTCCATTTTCGTGTAAGAACTTAATGGTGGTGGCGATCACTTCCAATACGGCGCTCGCCTCGCGTTCGTTGAAATACTTTTGATTCAGGATTTTGTCCAAAAGCTCGCCGCCGGACATGAGGTCCATAAACAGGTAGACAGATGTGGTGTCTTCGTACACATCGTGAAGCGTAACGATATTCGAGTGCTGACTATATCTCAGGAGAACTGCTACCTCTTCGGCACAATCGCGCTTTGATTTGTCGATAACCTGTCGGATAGGGACCCAAACAGTTAGCCACACACCACACAAACGACAGCTACAGACAGCCAGTGTGTCGCCTACCTTAACGGCGTACTGTTTGCCGGTCTCTTTGTGGACGCATCGGCGGCAACAAGAATAAGATCCTTTGCCCAACTCCTCGAAGAAGTCGTAGTCGTGAAGCGAGCGTTCCTTGCATTTGGTGATCTGTCGCAACAGTATCCGCGACACCGTCTGCGACGTCTTTGGCGACTCGTAACTGTTTGTGGCGTTTGTGTTGTTCTCGTTGTTGTTTGGCATCAGAGTCTCCTCTTCTAACAGATTCGGTGCTACGAAACTAAACCCACGGAATAACTCGTGTGCGTTAGCGCTGGGCGGCACTCCGGGCGAGTCTGGGAGAGAGCGGTATTCACACATAAAATCACTAATTCTAGACATACATCGTGTTTCACACATACCTTCCGGCGCTTTATTAGTAAACTCTTTATCAAAATAAAACAAATTATCGGTGCGATTGATGGCTGGTATGAATGGTGGAGTCATTTCTTTATTGAACAGTTTCTCGAAATCTATTGTCGCGAAGAATTGATGAGTTTTAAGCTCTTGGCCGGCCTCTGGCCCGGAACCCAACCGATTGGCCGGATTTCGTTTGAACAGACATCGGAGCAGACTTTGCGCTTCGGGGCTCAGGTACTGAGGCATACATAGTTTGGCTCTGGAGTGGGGGGACAGGACAGGTATGCATTACAAACACTGTGAACGAGTAAATGACAGAAAAAGGCAATGCATTACTTCATGATCTGTTGCAAGCACAGGAAGGACAACCAGGGGACCTTACCATCCTGTGGCCAGTCGTAGAGCTTGTATTCATGCGGCTTGCTGGTGGTCAGGTGACGGCAGCACACCGGGAATGCCGACTATTAGAGCCCGCGGTAATACTCGACGGTCCCGCAGAAGGAGAACGACTTCTCGTTGTTTAGCGACTCTTTGCTGAGACCAAAGTCCGTGAGACTGATGTGTCCGGTCGAGTCCAACAGAATACTGCACACAAAACACCCACACTTTAGACACACACACACAACTCAACATCCCGTTCCCCCCGAAGGCATACTTTTCTGGCTTCAGATCCCTGTATATGATGCCGAGTGTGTGCAGGTGGTCGAGCGCCAGCGCCAGTTCCGCCAAATAAAACTTTACGTCCTCTTCGGTGAACATTACCTTAAGAAGTGTGCAAAAATCATACATAAAAATCAAATTTACAAACAGTTATCATTTGTTTATTATATGAAGAAACAACTCTGCTCACTTATCCAGCGGCGGAGACTCTTTCAGCTCGTGATTTATGTCGAAAGGAAGGCAAACTTTCCGAAAAGTAACTTTCTTATCTACATATATTTACTTATGTCAATATAAACACTACTTATAAACAATTGAAATGAATATAAATATATAAAGTGTTTACAAACTATTTATACCATAATTGAGTTTTACGATGAATGGATGGCGAACCTCTGCCAGAATATCCCTTTCCATTTTGCTCCGCACCCGGTCTCTCACTAAACACACATAAAAATTATTGCAATTTTAAGGTCACATTAAATAAACAATTCTTCAGAAAAAAAGGTAAAACAATAAACAAATGACAAGAAAATATAATTACATAAAAGTAATCGCTAGAGAATTCCGACATTCAAATGAAAAACACTAAAATAGTTTTATAACTAATTCCGAGTCTAAACATAAATCACAGCTAATAATGCGATAGGAATTCCGTGTAATAGTCGTGAATACAAACAAACAGTGAAGCGCTTGTATATCACCTAAAATTAAATTTAACTTTACATCAATTCTACATAACAGTACTGTACTGAGCAAATACAATGTGTATATAAATTATTTTACGAAACAATTTTGAATTTTAGGCCAATTATTAAATTTTAAAACCCAATTAATATACACTTATTGATAATTCACAGCAAAAATCATTTACAAATTCACGTCACATTCACATTCACAATGCCTGCAACAAACACGGCATACCTTTAAGGGTGGCCTTCCGGAGCACTTTCATGGCGTATAGGCTGCCGGTGTCGGGACCGATGATCTTCTTGACGAGGAATACTTTGCCGAACGATCCCTCGCCCAACACCCGGAGCAGCGAGAAGTGGCCGGAATCTGCCACCGGGTGACCCTCTTTGGTCACGTTTGTCACCTCAATCTCCTCCACCGAGTTGTCGCGACTGTTCTCCACATCCATTGTCGACATCTGTATATCACCGATGGATTCAATTCAATGTTATTAATGGAGATTTCGATATAAAATAAATTTTAAAAAACTATTTAAATATATATATTCACTAAAAAAATCATCACAAATAAAAACCAACAAAAATTCAAAAAACTATTTATTATTAACATAAAAGCATTAAAATGAGTTTCGGATAAAATATTTTGCTTTTATAATATGATTTTTCAAGACATGGTAATAGGATTTGCCGTATGAAATAGGTTTTAGCGCTCAGTTTATATCAATTATTTAAATATATATTTTCTCGGAAAATGATGTCAACTCTCGTTAAAAGAGAGATAAAAACATTTTGCATTCAATTTCACTCGCGTTTAGGCCTTAAAACTCATTATACAGTAATATGATATTTAGTGGCAAATGAGTGAATGAATCGCTTTTTAATAACCCTTTTTAATAGCCAAAGCCCTGACACTTAATCCCAGGCCTTGACTGTACGGTGCGAAAGGGGAACTCATAAAAAACAGGGAACTGACTGTACATTTCCATAAAACAATGTCCAATAATTGTAATCTCGTATCCAAACCTGACATTTACTACCATTTTTTGCCTGTATTTCACTAAACATACTAAATATGAGTGCATTTCTAATGAGACAAACATTGAATACAAATAGTATTTTCTCGTCATTTCACTCATTAGTCTCTCATTTAGTTGTCTTAACACACAGTCTAATAGCGATAACTAAACACTGATTGTGAACACAAAACAGTGAAAACGAGTGACAAAACAAACAACTATTGAATCAAACGGTGATTTACAGTCTCGTCGTCGATATGCTGTCCATCGGCGGCCGTCTCGTTGATGGCTGACTGCGAGGGCAGGTCTTCGGGACTGGGCGTCGATGAGATCACCTGTCGTGGCAATGATCCAAGGCGTTAGTGAGACAATGGTATAAGGGGTCAGGAGGTGTATATGGGGTATATGTATGTGGGGAACGGTATGTCCTAATACTCACAGTGTCGCTGTCCTTATTGGACTGACTCCACGGCACCACCAGATTAGCCAAAGGCATGACTTAATGGTAATCCAAACACTTATACCACAAGACACACACCAATTGTGATGTTATATATAAATAGATAATATTATTATATATACACTAATGACTCAAATGACACTGGTTATATTACTATTAATAATAAAACACGCCAATTATTTACTATACAATATCGGGTGGTGTTTATTATTGTCAGTATATATGATATACACAAAACTTTTTGTTTGAATATATGATTAACTAAATTGAAACTAATTGTTGTAAATATATTTATATACAGCGCCGGGCAGTGGCTATGAAATCATAATTGAGTTGTAGTTTAGGTTATAATGTGTTTGTAATTAATATATAAAAATGGAAGAAATGTTTGAATCAAATATAAACAAAATGTTTATTAAAAGTGAAGTCAAAGTCAATGCATTCAAGCGATAGAAATGTCAAAATAGGCTCTCATTTGTAGACATCATAACGCTATACACATATCACGTATACTGTGTTCTCGCCGTATGCCAAACGCACCCCTTTTTTCCCCGACACTAACACACATCGCGTTAATTGTTCTTGCTAATATACATTCACTAAATATTATACCATGTTAATTTATGAATATTTTTACACTAATTTAGCATTTACAGTCAATTAAAAAATAATCAATTTGCGCTGATTATGCGTAAAATATTTTATATACTCGTTAAATGATCATGCTGCTCTTATATGATTGATTAGGCTCTCAATAGAGTTTGACTGTAAAAATTCATTGATTTATGTTCACATGTACTGACAATATGTTTAGTATGGTATGTAGCGGTAATTTAACAGCATTTTAGTTGCAACTCATTTAAATAGTTATCATGCGATTCATCTTAATATACATGTTATGAAACAAAAGGCTTTTTTAATATTGTAATATATTCACACCAAAAATGAATACAATATTATATAATGCTGTATATTATACAGTGTTATAGTAGCTATTCATTCATTAGCCAAACAAATATTGATTTTAATTATATTCTTGTTATACTGTACAGCGATTCTGTATACCAGTACAGGCATACAAAATACCGTAACTGTACTGTAAACACGGGGCTATAGCTAAATGTAGCGTATAATTCAATTTATTATGTCATGATATATATAAATCTCATAAAACTAAATAATCGATAAGTTGCATTTAATATAAAAACGATTTAATGTCAATATTTAATTGAGTATTAATATAGTATTATTGAGGAATGGTTGTGCAAATATACAGTATTTCCCTATCCTTGACTATAATGGCAAATGTATTGTTATTCACAAAAACACACTATATTTATCAAACAATTGACGTTTATAAAAATCAATTGCTACAAACATTTTGCTTTTTGATTTTTAATCTAATTGTCATTTTTAAGCACCGTTTGTTAAGCACATATATTACAATCGTATTACATATTAAATACTCAACACATAGTGTACTTTCTTTCAATAAAAATAAAAAGTTTGCATTTAATTATGTATAATTAATTCACGCAATAAGTCAAACAAAAAGAAAATGAATTCATTAAAATGCTTTTAGTATAAGAATTACATAATATTCTGTATTAATACTACTTTAGTATATATTATGTAATAAATGCTTTTTTTCATAGAAATCTCTATTCAACTAATTTGTTTAATTGAAATTTAAATTTTCTCTATTAACGTAATTCCCCAATAACTAAAAGCGCTATTGAATAGTATTCACACAAATTTATTTATATACAGAATTTAGTCATATGTTTAACTGATGAATATTGGAATTAATTTCACTGTAATTCCACTTTTATATTAGGAAAGTAAATGGAAAGCTATTTTTGAATTTGAATACTGTAGTAATCAGATCTTGAATAATAATTTTTATTTAAGTATAGATTTAATTTCAAAAAATAAGAAAAATACTTTTAGGAAGTCTTAAACTTCAAGATAAATCACTACTTAGGTATTACGGTTTACGGTACTGTATATAGAAAAGGTAATTTTACTTTACTATTATTAAATAAAGTCATTCAAAAAAGTAATATCAGAGTAATAGAGTGGTACCTAATGAATTGTTTAATATTTAATGATAAATAAATGGATTTTTGTTTGTAATCATTATTTGTAGTATCAATTTTGGTTTACGCTAGCATTCATAATATTGTAGTAATCAAATTAGTGTTCAGCTTATTAATTGATGCAAATTGTTTTCATGTCATCAATTAACGCCCAAACTCTTTAAGTATAAATAATTTATATGCATTTATAGCATATTAATTTACAATCTATAAGTTATCTTATATTTAATAGATAATCATTAATCAATAAATTTTGATATATTTATGAATCACATGGCAGACAAATGTCAAGAATTGTGAAACATAATTTTGTATATTTAAATTATATTTGTAATCTTATTTACGATATTGATACAATAGTAGAAAAACTTGATTTAAGTCAGACAATTTGAATATGCAATACATGCAATATGTAGATTTATTATCGCCTTATGTTGAATATCACCGATTGACATCAAATTTATTTTGAAATTAATAGAAAATAAATTAATAGAGTAAATTTACATATTAATAGTACTGGTAAAAATAACTTATATTTAAAGGTTTAATTTAAAATGCAATAAATTTCGCAATATAATGTGTTTAGAAAATAACTATTAATTCTTAAGATTAAATAATGAACAAATATTTATACAAATGTACTTTTTAAAAACAGATAGTAAACTGTATACTACCGTAATATATGACAATTAACAAAATAAAAACACCAATTTACTAACATGTATTTACACTGACCCTGAAATTCTCTAATTAATTATAGAGGGGAATTATTCAGGTATTTTCTCATTTGTTTTGTGTGTAAAAGTGACCTCGATTATGAATTATGAACTAGTCGCCGTACGTATCAATAGTTTGTTATACTTGTATATATAAACAAGTTAGATAACAGATTTCATAACCAACCAGTTCAGTGATTAATTTACACATCACACCAGCTAATATTAGGTGCAATTTTAGGTGCAATTCAATAAGCACCAATGCCCATTTATATAAAATTTGCACTAAGCTATTGTATAGTAACTACAGATTATACTATAGTTATGATTGGATCCCAAACTTAATAATTAGCATATGTTTGAAACCGTATAAAAAGCAGCGATTCTTAAGCTTACATTCAATTCATTTCAATAGAGTTTGCAATTGAACTTAAAAACTAATACAAAACTAAAAAATGATTGGGTTATTTGGATTCAGCTTATTTAATTTAGCAGTGGGGTTTTTGACCAGTTTACCACTCATTTACTGGTAATTAACTTTTACAATATTGTACTATGAAAATAATAATTTTTTAAAATTTTTACATTAATTTTGACATCAATTCATAGGTTTCTAACAAAGAATAACAATTATTGGAAGAAACTGGGAGTCAAAGGCCCGAAACCTATTCCCATTTTTGGCAATTTCCTGGAAAGGTGTCAAAATCCCGTTCCACTGCTTGATGTCGAATATGTTAAGAAATATGGAAATATTTTCGGGTAATTAATTAATTAAAATTTTCTTATAAAAATCATTATAAACAAATCCCTACAATAGATAATAAAATTTAAATTTTAAAGTTAATTTAAGTTAAATTTTAAATTCAGTTTTTATTTAACACTTAACTCAATATCTATTATCATCTCTTAAGCCCTGATGAAGATCTCAGTGTAGATCGAAAACGTTCGGCTAATCTGTTATTTTTAATACCTTTTCAGTGATTAAAAAAATAAGTTATTGAAACCAAACACTTAACAATAAAATTTAATTGCCATTCACCACAGAATATTCAACGGTAGAGATCCGACACTAATGGTCGCCGAACCGGAACTACTCAAACAAATTCTGGTCAAAGAGTTTCATAAGTTTTCAAATCGCCGGGAACTGAGGACAGAGCACCCGATCATCAATAAAAACCTCTTCAACTCGATGGGCGAGGACTGGAAACGCATGCGAACTATAATGAGTCCCACTTTTTCGTCGGGAAAGCTGCGGAAAATGTATCATTTGGTGGAGCAGTGTCTCGAGGAGTACCTGGGACACCTGGATGTGATGGCCAGGGATGGCAAGTATATCAACGCCAAGCTTCTACATCAGAACTTCACGTTTGATGTGATCGCGAAGTGCGCCTTCGCTACGAAAACCAACTCACAGAAGGATCCCAACAATAAATTGGTGGCCGCCGGCCGTAAAGTCTTCATATTCAGCGCTATTAAGATGATCCCGGCCTTTATTTTCCCGAAATTTTTAAACAAAATGCTGAATATAAGGACTAATTTGGTGGAGGCGCCCAATGAATTCATATTTGATTTGACGAGACATATGCTGAAGAAGAGACGCGACGGCGAGAAAAGTAACGATTTCTTGCAACTACTCATCGACGCCAACGCCGCCGATAATAATAATAATAATAATAATAATAACAACAAAGACCTGTCGGCCGATAAGATAGACTCCCATCACTTCATTGAAGGTTTGCTTTCAGACTCATTCATTAGCCATCCGTTTAAATAAAACCTAACATTTCATTCAAACCCCTTTTCAGGCGAAGACGAAATCGAGGCCGCGAAGCAAACTTTTAACACGAATTTCGCGAACAAAACCCTAACCGAGGATGAGATCATAGCCCAGTCGTGGCTTTTCTTATTGGCCGGCTTTGAGACAACGGCCACCACTTTAGGGCACTTATCGTACGAGTTGGGTCTCAATCCGGACGTCCAGGAGAAGCTCCACAATGAGGTGATCAATGCGTTTGATTTGGACGGAAAGATCAATTACGAGACCCTCCAGAGTCTGCCGTATTTGGATGCCGTCATCAGTGAGACCCTGCGTATGTATCCGGCGTTGGCGCGACTGGAACGGGAGGCCGGCGAGGATGTCAAGTTGGGCGATACCGGGATCACCGTATTTAAGGGCCAATTGATCGAGATTCCCGTCTATGCCATACACCGGTCGGAGAGGTACTACAAAAACGCCGACACATTCACACCCGAGAGGTTTATGCCGGAAAATCGCAAGGATTTGGTGCCCTATGCCTACATGCCCTTTGGCACCGGACCCCGCAATTGCATTGGTATGCGGTTTGCCTTAATGGAGATCAAGCTCTGTATCGCTCACATCGTAAAGAGGTTTCGGTTCACGAAGTGCGCCGACACTGAAATGCCCATCAAATTCATGAATCTAACGCCTTTGATGACCGCCGAGAGTATTACTCTTGGCATTGAAAAGCGATAAAAGACCTCGGTGTTTCATAACAAACAAATTTCATAAGCATATCATTAGTCTTGATAAGAATTTATTATTTGTTTATAATAAGTTTGTAAATTTAGATTCTTTATCATTCACACCTTTTTTGTCGATAATAAATAAAGTCAATCATTTATACAAAAAATAAAATATACTTTTATAAGTTGATATATTAATTGGATAAAGACTCTATTTAATTTTATTTTATATAACGTTTCTAATAAAGTGTAACTCGTATTTAGATAACATACTCGGCAAATCATGATTAAAATTATAAAGTATATCGAGTATATAATATACTGTATTATTTTCAATATCAGTATTAAATTAGATTTAATATTTTGTTGGACATTAAGCAAGAATAACTCAGCATTTTTATTTACTTAAAAAAATAATCTCTTTTAACGCACTACTAGTAAACATTTTATAATGATATTCAGTGTTTAATTTACACAAAACATCAGCTAATTTTAGGTGCAATTCCATAAACACCACTACCCATTTATACAAAGTTTGCACCGGGCTATCGTATAGTTATGATTGGATCACAAATTTAGTAATTAACAGTTTGGGGTATTTTTGAAGTTATATAAAAAGCAGCAATTCTTAAGCTTGCATTCAATTCATTTCAATAAAGTTTTCAATTAAACTTAAAAACTAATACAAAACTAAAAAATGATTGAGTTATTTGGATTCAGCTTATTTAATTTAGCATTGGGGTTTTTGACCAGTTTACCACTCATTTACTGGTAATTAACTTTTACCGTAGTGTACTATAAAAATAATATATTTTTAAAATTTTTACATTAAATCTGACATCAATTCATAGGTTTCTAACAAAGAATAACAATTATTGGAAGAAAATGGGAGTCAAAGGCCCGCAACCACTTCCCTTGTTTGGCAATTTACTGGAAAGGTGTCAAAATCCAGTTCCACTGCTTGATATTGGATACGTTCAGAAATATGGAAATGTTTTCGGGTAAATCATTAATGCAATGTTAATATTAAACTTAATTAGTTATGATTTTATGTTATGATTTTACATGAGTTTATAAAATTTAATTGCCATTCACGCAGAATATTCAACGGTACAGATCCGACACTAATGGTCGCCGAACCGGAACTACTCAAACAAATTCTGGTCAAAGAGTTTCACAAGTTTTCAAATCGCCGGGAACTGCGGACAGAGCACCCGATCATCAATAAAAACCTCTTCAACTCGATGGGCGAGGACTGGAAACGTATGCGAACTATAATGAGTCCCACGTTTTCGTCGGGAAAGCTGCGGAAAATGTATCATTTGGTGGAGCAGTCTCTGGAGGAGTACCTGGGACACTTGGAAGTAATGGCCAGGGATGGCAAGTATATCAACGCTAAGGTCCTCCACCAGAACTTCACGTTTGATGTGATCGCGAAGTGTGCCTTCGCTACGAAAACCAACTCACAGAAGGATCCCAACAATAAATTGGTGGCCGCCGGCCGTAAAGTCTTCATATTCAGCGCTATTAAGATGGTTCCGGCGCTCATTTTCCCCAAATATATAAACAAAATGCTAAATATAAGGACATTGCTGGTGGAGGCGCCCAACGAATTCATATTTGATTTGACGAGACATATGGTGGAGAAGAGACGCAACGGTGAGAAAAGTAACGATTTCTTGCAACTACTCGTCGACGCCAACGCCGCAGATAATAATAATAACAACAAAGACCTGTCGGATGATAAGATAGACTCCCATCACTTCATTGAAGGTTTGCTTTCAAAGTCTTAGGCCATACCGTCAAACAAAACCTAACATTTCATTCAAACCCCGTTTCAGGCGAAGACGAAATCGCGGCCGCGAAGCGAACTTTTAACACGAATTTCGCGAACAAAACCCTAACCGAGGATGAGATCATAGCCCAGTCGTGGCTTTTCTTATTGGCCGGCTTTGAGACAACGGCCACCGCTTTAGGGCACTTGTCGTACGAGTTGGGTCTCAATCCGGACGTCCAGGAGAAGCTCCACAATGAGGTGATCAATGCGTTTGATTTGGACGGAAAGATCAATTACGAGACCCTCCAGAGTCTGCCGTATTTGGATGCCGTCATCAGTGAGACCCTGCGTATGTACCCATCGTTGGCACGACTGGAACGTGAGGCCGGCGAGGATGTCAAGTTGGGCGATACCGGGATCACCGTACGTAAGGGCCAAATGATCGAGATTCCCGTCTATGCCATACACCGGTCGGAGAAGTACTATAAAAACGCCGACACATTCACACCCGAGAGGTTTATGCCGGAAAATCGCAAGGATTTGGTGCCCTATGCCTACATGCCCTTTGGCACCGGACCCCGCAATTGCATTGGAATGCGGTTTGCCTTAATGGAGATCAAGCTCTGTATCGCTCACATCGTGAAAAGTTTTCGGTTCACGAAGTGCGCCGACACTGAAATGCCCATCAAATTCATGAATCTAACGCCTTTGATGACCGCCGAGAGTATTACACTTGGCATTGAAAAGCGGTAAAAGACCTCGGTGTTTCATAACAAACAAATTTCATAAGCATATCATTAGTCTTGATAAGAATTTTATTATTAACATACAGTACTAACATAGTATATCATTGATGTATAATAAGTCTGTGTACCGTAATATCATTTATCAGTCACACTTTTTTATCGATAATATAAATAAAGCCAATCATTATTACAAAAAATAAATGCACTTTTAAAAGTTGATATACAGTATTAATTGGATAAAGACTCTCTTGAATTTTATTTTATAAATTAGTAAAGTGTAACTCATATTTAGATAACATGCTTTTGGCAAAACACGATTAGAATTATGAATTACTGTATATATTGACAGTGTATATCGACAATATAATATACTTATTATTTTTCAATATCAATATTAAATTAGACTTAATATTCTGTTGGACTTTAAGCAAGAATAACTCAATTTACTTAAAAAATAATCTCTTGTAACGCACTACTAGTAAACATTTTATAAGATTAAGAATTATATAAAAATAACTTACATTTTGTAACGATTCTGTTAAATCGCTAGTGTTATCAAATATTAATTTTGTGAAAAACAAATTCACTTAACATTTTGTATAGAAACGACATTTCAAGAATTATTTTAGGCACTAATTACAGTACTAAATACAAAAATATAATGACAATAATTAAAATATAACAAATATCATACATTTATTATTCTGTTACACCATTTTCAATAATTATTGGTATTATACTTGTGTACAATATTACCAGTACAGGTAGAATTATTATGATATTCATTTCACATTCTAATTAGTGCTTCATTTGTTGAAAATATTTTATGTATAAAAGTTAATAAAGTTAACGACAAAAAGATTATCCGAGATGTACAACAAAAGCATTCATTTTCACATATTAATGATGAATATAATTAGGTTTGTTAACATTGATGCAAATATGCTAAAAGTATGTATGAATGAAGCATTGAATCTATTTTATGCTCAAAAATGATACACCTGATCACATTTGGCTGAGTTTTGTAATTTTATAAACTTTTTACTTTATTAACAGAAAAATATTAAGACATTTTTGGTCATTAAATGTAATGAATCATTACTAATGACTATATTTGCAAAATAAAACTATTATCTCGGTTAATTTAATTATACAATTTAATTGAACAATGGACAGTAAGTAATTTTTAAATATAATTGAAATGATAAATATAATGGACTTACATAACCTAGGCATTGTTGATAACTTGAAATTTCCCACAATTCTTTCAATAAATACTTTTCAAACAACAAAAATACTTTTTAATAATAGGAATTATTCCTAATTATGAATTCTTTTATGACATACAGCATAATCGGTAGTTTTACCGGTAAAGTACAATCATATGGTCTTGAGATTAAATAATTTATTCAAATTACTTTTCATATTATACATAATTATTAAAAGTATATTAACATAAGCATAATTCAATGATAAATCACAAGAATATATCATTTACAATGAATGAATAAATTAGGAATAGTGTACTAAATCATCACAGATTTTGGCATTAAATTGAATACACATTTGAGAAGCTACAAGTTTATTGGTCTTTACGAGTTAGCGATATATTTCATATATCAGTGCTAATCAAATATTTGTCGCAAATTCTGAGGACAAATATTTATATTTATGGTCTAGAAATTTGCATTGGCTGTATGTGCAGAATGTCAATACCGGTATAATATCATCCACTTTAAGACATATTGCATATGTACCGGTACAGTACCGTATGGGGAGTTTATATGATACTTACAGTGCTATCATAAAGTGATTGTAACTCTCAACGGAATTCAATTTAATAAAAACCAAACATGCATTTGCTAAAAACATATGAAATGCATTATTTATAACAAATATATGGGGAGTTTATATGATACTTACAGTGCTATCATAAAGTGATTGTAACTCTCAACGGAATTCAATTTAATAAAAACCAAACATGCATTTGCTAAAAACATATGAAATGCATTATTTATAACAAATATAAACACCAAAATTATATATAAAATATATATTTTATTATAATTTCAAACAGAAATGAATATAGAGTTATAGATAGATGATTATAAGAATGATTATGAGCAGAATGATATTTAGAGAGAATATTCTATAAATAGTAATTTATATAACCGTACATGATTTTTGGCGAATATGGCAAATATTTCATAATAAACTAATTGCCAAAATATGACTTTTAATTACCGGTTTAATAAGTAATACAGTAGTCGTATATTACCGTATGTCAGTGGTAATTATGTAAGTAATAATTACTAATTATGCACATTGATTAGATTTAAAAAGTAATAATTTAAAATTTGGATGCAAATTATGTGCATTAATTATATTTATTAAAACCGGTAAATTAAAAAGAACAAATTTAGAGATCCATTAATGCAATAAATATCTTAATTAGTTGATGTATTACCTAAACTCACAATTCTGTTAATCAGGGAACAGTTACCAAAAACTAATAGATTAGACAATTTAATAAATATTTTACATTTATTATAACTATAATGAGTGAGCGATTTGTTATTTTTACACCTAAGATGTTCAGTGATATTATGGGTGCCCTAATTGGTTAGTGAAAATAGTATTTTTTTTAAAATAAACAACAAAAAAGTCCCCAAAATGTGTGATCAAAAAATTTCGTAATTACCATGCCTTAAAACTTTATTACTTAATATAAATCTATGTTTTTCAAATCTGTAACTTTTACTTTAACTTTATTTTATGTTTAAAAAAAGTATTTTTTTACATACTGATGCTGAAGAACGTGCGAACAGTTCCGCGAATCAGAAAGGCTGTATACCCTGTCAGCCGTTGCGTACCCCGCGTGACTCACGTGCGGTTGACTACGGGCGTGCCGTCCTTGTGGTGAGGCTAGAGCGCCAGGTCTGTATAGAATGTGTTGTCTGCTGACAGTTCTACGCGAGTCGTCGGCTCGCTATCACTGGACGCCACTTCCGGCGCCGGCGAAGACGTATAGTTGGATAACGACGATGTGGTCGACGATAGTGACGACTGCGATGACGGCAGCGGTGGCTCTTCGCCGCCGGAGTGGTAGTCATCATCGCTACCACTGCTGTAGTGTTCGTCCGAACTGTGATTATCTATTCTGTTGGCAATCACTGGACAACTGCTTGAAACACAAAAACACAACTCAATCAATACATCCAAAAGCAAACCACTCATAAAACGCTTACTTGTGTTCATTGCGTCCATTCCTCGTCTCGGAGATGACGGCGTCGTACAGCTGTGCGAACGACGTGTACGGCTGTCGCTCTGCGTGCCATCTCTTATTGAGCACCGCTTTGATCACATCGACGCTACCGACGCCCAACTCCAGCATTTGCACCACAATACCGGTGCCCATCCACTCGGCCACCGCTCGCACGCCCAACGCGTTCACAATCTCCTCGTCCGAGTCGTAACCACTAGAGCTACCCATCTCTGGGTCGGAGTCGCTGTTCAGCTCCGCGTTCGTCTGCCTCTCGTTGGCCACCATTTGGCGGCACTCGTCCACAAACTCCGGCGATTTGTTTAGCAGTACGAAGTGACAGTCGGGGAACCACTTCGCGTGCTCTATCCAGGGGTCGTCGCCCGGCTCCCAATTACAGAGACCGCCGTCGCAGTAGAAACACTTCACGTAATCACTCATTCCTGGGGTCGACAACAAAAAATCTATTATTAAAAACCGTATCTCTATTTACAAAACAAATATGCAATTCATATGACATGTATTCAAAACATAAATCGCTATCATTTAGCTATCGCAACACATCTACACCACAGCTGATAGGACGGCGCCAATGACTCACTAATAAAGTCTCAATTATTTCCGGAAAACAGTATCTATTTTGTTAAGTCATTTGTTTTTATAATTAAAATTTCTTAAAAACGTTTCACACGTCTAATGCGATAACAAATCACGCGTTGAATATATGGCACGCAAAGCAATACCCAAAAACGATTAGCAAAACCAACAAAACAATAACACAAACGTCATACCAATCGAGTAAAAGCCGGCCTCCGCTAACGTATCGGTGCTCACGGGTATGGAGTCATCCCAACACATGTTCTGATAGGAACGGCGTCTCATGTCAACGGAGTTATAATTAGGATTTTTGGGTCCGTTATGGGGCTGCACTCCGTATTCACTCATATTAGTCGCCTTTATGTCGGCGCTGTTGACCGCTATCGAGTTGAGCACCGACTCCTCCGGTGCGCTCATATTACCGCAAACGTCGTGCCCCCGCTTGGCGTCCCGAATGGGATCCCTACCAATGGGCACATTCCCGACGTCCTCCTCCATAATGAACGGACAGCGCGGGTAATGACGGCTGTGCTCAGCGAGCGGTCGGTCGCCTACACGAGAGAGAAAAACACAATTAGTCTTTCAGTTCGTAATAAGTTTTACATAAAAAATAAGCCAAAAATTATACCACAAAACACTACACAAAACTACAGTACAACCAAACAGTCGATTCAAACACATATACTATTGTCTAACAAAAACCTATACATAGATTCCGTTAAATAGCATTTAGTAATCGACTTATAAAACGGATAAACTCTCCATAAGAGGGGAACGCCTATAACATAGCAGTCATATCATCGACTGTTTGTTTAGAAGTTATCCGTTTTATGGCACTCATTGACTACACATTTGGCCACTAATTGCCTGAAACATCAAAACGATGGCAAAGAAAACACAAATTCATTAACAATATTACAAATTAATCATTCATTCAAAACAAATGAAATCTTTATAATCATAGAAAAGTTTCAGTGAAATGTGTGGAAATGTAATCAAATACGAGTGGAAAGGCTATTATAATAAATAATTATAAAGTGATTATAATAACGAGTAATTTAACGGATAGTCTGTTGGGTGTAGTGGTGAGAGTGTAGAGCACATCCAGGCTAAGGGGCCGTGGGTTCGAATCCCCACTCGGGAGGGCACTCATTATCAATGCTCTCTCACCTCATATACACTCACAAAACACATCAAAATCTCTGACAAACCACAAAACAGACACAAAACTACTTCCGGACACAAAAAGCTACAGAAAAAGACACTAAGACTACAGACGAAAGTAGACAAACAAAACACAAAAACATGGGATCAAATCCAGTGATACCTCTTTGCCATCCGCTGACAATCCCGCGACAGAAAGCGCACTGAACTCTGTCGCCGTTGAGGAAGAAGAAGCCGGCGTTCGCCAACTCCTCGGCCGACACGTACTCCAGCGTCCACTGCGAGTTAGGCCGCGCGTGATATGACCGCAAACGGGTCCACTCGCTCCTCATAAGAGCGAAGAAGTCCTGAACCCACGCGTTATAGCCATTCAGTTGCGGTAATTGCGAGCAAATCCTGTTGTAATTGTTGACAATCTTCTCCAACTCATTGGTTCCCATGTCTGGCGATTGGCTCAAGTGGTGGGTGACCGTCGGGTCCGATGTGGTGGCCATCGACAGCAAGTGTCCGTCGCTCACAGTATTCGCGTCCGACATGATTGTGATGAATGGATGTATTCAATAGTGTGTAACAAATGGTGATAACAAGTGGTGATCAGTAAAGGCCACGAAACTAATGGTTAATTGATTCAAATGGTGACACAAATACACTGTTTTTGTACTGCTTTTTGTAGTAACAGTGCAAATGGCGAACCACTCACTGATCACGTGATGTGAATCACAAATAGTTTTCTCAATTTCTCGGAAAAATCTCGACTGAAATCTTGTTATGAAATGTGAGCTATAAGTCGATGATTGGTGTATATCGACAGCACTGGTGATTCAGATCAGGGATCAACTGTTGACCACCGCTTATAAACTGCTTATAATTATCACAAATGAGAGATAAAACAAATAAATAACAAATAGTTTTGAGACTAAACTATAGGCAGTGGACTGGACTCGACTGGAAAGTTCACGCAGTCATACACACATACACTGGCAACCAATGGGAGCGCAGTTATTCAAGTTTGTCAGCCAATCGCGCGCCATCTATGCGCAGGAATGAGAAACGCATTGTTTTTGTTGTTTCACTCAAACGAATGCATTACACAAAAAGCTTCCGTTATAAGTGCGCAGTGGTTACTGTCAGAGTCAGTACTTTTATACACACACAACAGCGCTATTAGTAGTGGTGAGCAGTAGCATGAAATGGTGATTGTCTGAGCGATATCCCAACTCACCATAACAGTAACTCACGAGCGTATCCTTTTCGGTTTGCTTAAATTTCGTGACTTATCTTACGTTATCTTACATTTGTTTGCCAGTAAAACCACTTGTGATATGAGCAGTACTATGAGTATAGCCATACACCAAGTGTTATACAGGCATTCAGATTGCAGTCATTCATTGAGTCAGTGATTGAGTGAGCGTTCAGTTCAACACATATTTAGCATTCAATTCAAAGTACACGACAATTATCCACACAATCAGTCACTGTGAGCACTATTTATAGCCCATTGTCTCCGCACCACAACCTCCTCAGCCAGTCGTACGCCATAGCCATCGACAGCCACTAGTCTTGGTGTCGATCACCAGAAAAAGTATTGATTTTCTTATCGCTCGTTGCGATCAATACTCGCCACTCGATTGTCTTATCGACGGTCACCACCGCCATCGCCAACACTTACACCACCATCTGGTTAACGCCATTTTGATTGAACCCTTGGATCGGATCAGAGAGTGATGGCGTGCGCGACACTGAAGCGACCGCTCGAGTGGACGGACCCATCGATGTCTCCGCCGTCGACGGCCCACAACACGGGCGCCAAAGACTCGGCCCATAGTTACCATCAGAGGGCCGCCAAACGCCGCTGTCTGTCGACGATAATGAGTCCGCAGATGACGGACAAGAGCTCACACTTCGGTGACGTTCAGCCAAAACTGTCTTCAGGTATGTGTCGCGCGAGTGATACCACACTCGTCGCCATCGACGGTATCCATTGCTAATACACGTGACTAACGGTGTACTGACACTCTTTTGCAGAGGAGATTGCGGTCAGCATTCGCGAAGAGATGCGCCGATTATATAATCGCAAGAAATTACAGTGAAGAGTGTGGAGCAGCAGCTGGTCGTGAAGGTGACTCCCGAGCATAAGTCCTGTTGTGGGCGGCAGCGGATTGTGATCAAGAGTTCTCAATCACAGAACAGAATATCAGTGGTATTGATAGCGATAATAGCCTTTAGATTATCTCCTATTTTGAGACCACGTTTGAGTCCTATTTTATTTGCTGACATTTGCAGCGATAAGCGCTGATTAGCCGTTAAGTGGTTGCCGTTTAAGACATTTAATGCACAGATTTATCGCATATAATATCAGTGAATATATGAACACTATTTTTAGCCATACTTTCCTCAAAACCATACCTTTTTATATGCATTTGAATCGCGTCTTTGTGTTGATTATAAATGACTACTCCTTTGCATTCATATCATTATTAATCACTTTTTATTTATGTCTAAACGTTTGTCTCGAGACATGTATTAATAGTAGTGTTTGTGTGCTTTCAGTGGCTTCTCGTCGCCGCCACACGAGAGTCAAGCGCTGAGCTCGACGTCGATCGGCCTGTTGTCGCCCACCCGACGGGACGCACCCCTCTTCACGTTCAGACAAGTGGGTCTCATATGCGAGCGGGTGCTGAAGGAACGGGAGACTCAGATTAGGCAGGAGTACGATGACGTCCTCAATACCAAATTAGCCGGTAATTAGTGCACACTATTGTGTGTGTGACCACTGATTGTCTTACCATTTGATTGTATATTTGCAGAACAATACGAGACTTTTGTCAAATTCACTTACGATCAGATCCAGAAGCGATTCGAAGCCAATTCGATTCCTAGTTGTAAGTGATATCTATATGCCTACCCTTTGTGGACAGTTATGTGATGTGTATTAATTGATTGTGTTTTTTGTTTTTGTTTCACAGATCTATCATAGGGTAAAATGCAATTAGTATTATGAATATTACAAGAATTTTTAGATACAACTCTACAAAATTGCCAAACAATTAAAGTGTGCTTTTCTTATGTGTTATACTCTCTCCTCTACTCTTTCTCACACTCTCTACCTTTCAATACATGATTTGTTTTATCTCTTATTATAAATTGTATGCAATTTAACGCAAAAATTTCTGATTTGGTTTTTTTCAAAATTCTGTGTTTATTATTGATTATTCATTTGATATTTGATTTTATAATATTTTCAGCGATGATTCCAAAACTTTAATTTTGATTTCTCTCTTTTCTATTGTTTTTTTTCTGTATTTTTATGATTAAATATTATTTAACTTATTATTATTATGATTATGATTATACTGTATATCATTAAAGCAAACCAAAAGTATGATTCAATGTATATGCCGATTATAAAAACGAATTTTTGTCAAAAATGCATGTTTTCGTACCACAATTGACATGTATA